CAAAATTCAGAACTCTGTCCCTAGTAAACAGAGTAAACGGAAAGGTCAGGTTAATCTAGGATAAACTTCGTCTCTAGAGTTCAAAGACAACTGGCCTCTCTGTGGGTTTCAATTGGAGTTCCCTTTGAAGGATTGTTCTCAAATTCATTAAAGAAATTTCACTGACTTCACAGACTTCGGCATTAAATAGATAACCAGAGCTCTTCCCTGCCCTGCAGAATGACTGTTCACCTTTGAAGCTCTGCACATTGGGATTAAGTTGGCTGTTTGCCTTTTACCCCAAAGATGACTCCACTCCATTGATCAGTGAGTCCCAGGGCAATCACCTGGTTGATCAACAATACCAAATTTATCTCTGTAATGTGCCTCTTTTAAAAGGCACATCGTTTCATGGGTTGGCTTTGTTAGGATTTTTGCTTTAGATGTAGTATTAATATTGATATTAATACTGATATTAATACTGCTTGATATTAATGTTCTCCCTCACTAAAAAAAGTCAGAAAATGTATCATGTTTTAAAAACCCAAGTTAACTTCCTTTAATTAGTTTGAAAGATATGTGGAGTTTTTAGATGCATAAACTCAATTCTGCCTTGAATTGCACCTATTCAAATGCCATAGAGGCCTAGGCATCTCCTCAGACCCTGGTTTGCTCTTTGGAGCAGCATTTTCTTGCTTTACAGAATGACTCTGCACATTCCACAGAGGGTTCGGCATAAACACATACACCAGCCTGCAGCTTTCACCCTCTAACCCCACCATCTGCTTCCTGCGCACCCCATAATCTAAAACATCTCCTCTTCGCAGGTATATATATGGTCTTGGATTTGTCATGGTGAACACGAGACTTTACAAGACCCATAAAATGACAGCTGCACAGAGGGGATGGGGTGGCTTTTACCGACCCTGAAACACCTCTGCCTTTAACTCCCAGGGATCAGGAACTTGAAAGTGCTCGGATTCACTTAGCTCTGTGTTTGTCATAAAGTTAAGGCTAATCAGATTTCCCCCAACTTGCAGCCCTATCTTAAATCCCCAAGCTTCTCCTATGCTAACTTAACTGATGGAAGATGTGATTATGCCTTCTCAGGTCATAAATTCTAGATATTTATAACATAACTGTTGTCATTTAGGTCAATTAAGGTGCTTTTACTGGCTCAGAACAACTACCTATGGGTCTTGTCCGATACTCTTGACAGTGGTTTATGACCCTTGGGGTGATTTTATCTTGCAGAGATATGAAAGATGGCTGCGTGTGAAAATGGTCATGAGGCATTTGAAGCATTTTCTCCATATTATGATCCACCATCCTATATCTACTCTATTCCTGGAAGCTCAGAACCCTTCCTTATCCATAAAAAATACTGTTTGACTCTAACTCTTCCCTTAGAGTTGGCTTTTTTGATCACCTTTTATCCTCCCAAAGACCTGAGAGGGGAGATAACACCTCCTGAGACACTATGATAAAATTCCCAAGTGGTGGGCTGGCCAAACACCCCGCTGGGAAATGCCAGACTTTTCCATATGCATAACATGTCCCTGAAGACAACTGGGTTTTACTTTTCACACAGGGTAAACTGCTCCCTCATGAAAAGCAGAACAGGGTGACAACTTGGGATATATTTGGGGATTTCATATAGACTGGTTGCAGCCTTTTTTCCCTTGAGGAATATCACTTATTTACCACTGTTTCCCTCTTGCTGTTTCTTCTTTCAATAAGGCCCCTGGACCCACTGTATTCCAGCCACTGTGCTAGGTAGCGGGTATGGAGCCCAAGGAATTCCCAGGCTGGCTGGAGACACAGAGGCACATCAGTAATTATAATACAGTGTTAACAGACAATGAGAGAGTCATGCACAGCAAATTCTAGAAGCATTGAGAAGTGATAGTTCTACTTTTGGAAGGAAGGGAGGTGGTGAGGGGAGGTTCCTTGGGAAAAAAGAATTCCTAGTCTGAGGCTTAGAAAATGCAAGGAGACAGCTAGGTCAACTGGGGGAGAACAGCACTGCCATTAGGGAGCACCAGAGCAAAGACATGGGTTTGTGGAGGGCATAGAAGATGTGGGAACGCCAACAGGTCAGGGTTCCAGACCATTGCATACCTGATGGGCAGCGGTGAGAGTTGAGGCTGAAAAAGAAAAGCCAGGATCTGCTAAGACTCTGTATTCATGTTACATAAGCTATTACCTTTCTTGTTCAAAGGAGACCTAGTATAATGGCGTCCTTTTCACAAAATCCACTGAATGGAGTTGAGTCAGAACTTTTTTTTTCCCTCACCCAAATCTATTTGCTCCATGCCTCCACAAACAGCTGGCATTGTAAAATCCCCCAGTCTAACTTGACCAACATAACTCTTTGAAACTCCAGTCACACCTCCTTTGGTAGACAACACTTTGCTTCTCATTACCAAACCAACACTATTTGTAGAAACCAAGTGAAACACCCAAAATCCTCCCTGGTGAACATAGACTAAGTGCCGACTCCATACAAGGCACTGTCCTGGGGATGAGTCAGAAATGTGGGGGAGGAGGTATGACCTCAGCATGCAGTGTGATTTTTGAGGTGCACAGTGACACACCCTGAATTTTAGAATTTAAAGGTCTTTGGTCAGTTTGATTTTTTTCTGATGATAATAATTTGGTTAGGTTTGGCAAAACAATAACACCCTAAACCCAAATCTTCAAAAGAATAGTATCTACCAGGTAAAAGGAAGGTACTGGTGTGGAAAATGTGCTGTAGCAACAACATTTGAAAGTGTGCCGTATGGGAAAATGCAAGTTACCAGCAACTTCCACAAATTAGCTGCTTAACTATGTTATAGAGATCCAGGGTTGGAAAGTGACAGTGTTGATCCAAGCGGGCATACGTTTCTCAAAACGATCAAATTGTGGCTCATCTTCAAGAGTGGAAGTTGTTGCTGTTAAAAAATTTAAATGCTTTACTTTGCTTGTTTGTGTATCTTCTACCTTGTTCCACAAGGGATGAAAGCATCTACTACCAAACAGAAGAGACTCTTATTCCTGGAGAAGGGAGGAATGAAGGCTTGAGTAGCGCCCACCGAGCAAGGTCAGGTTGGTTCCAAGTGGGACTTGGACAGCACTGATGAAACTCTTTGGAAAGCTCTTCTAAAATAGAATATTCTGATTTAACACATCACTCTCTAGCACCTGGGTGACAGGGGAAGAGCCAAGAACCCATTTCTAGAATAAGTCTGAGAACCATGAGCTTTATTGGTTGCATGAAAATCTCATATACAGAATTTGCACTCTCTCATTTGTTCTCTATGCCCAGATGTATATTTACACATATCTGACCCATCGGACAGTATAAGGTAGCACACTGCAGCTTTACTGTCTGGTTGGCATTTTAGTTTCAGCACTTAGCAAGTCGCCTAACTTCTGAGTCCCCCAGTGTCTTCATTTGAACGTGTAACTAATAGTAGTCTTCACCTGAGAGGATTATTGTGAAGATTACAGAATTAATATGTGTAAACAGTGCCTGGAACATATTAAGTGCTCAGTAAATGTTAGCTATAATTACTATTTTCTAGTCCTCTATTAAGTACAAAGAGAACAACAGAAGTAAAGACCATTGCTTTGTCCATTGCTAGCTCGAGACGAAATCGCCATAGAGGAAACCATTGTGATCAAGAAAAGGAAATTCTGGGGAAAATTGAGTTAGGGCTCGAAGAGCCTTAGGAGGTCAGGAGAGACAGAGATAATGACATTTTCAAAATTTTAGAGGAGGCTGGGTCCGATATGTAACATTTGGACAGAAAATAGGGCATTTCAGATAATGGCAAATAACTCTCACAAAGACATGGAAAGAAGAATAAATACTGTATATTTTTAGAAGAGTACAAAAAAATCTCATTATGCGGGAATGGTGGAAAATTCATAAAAACTGCCTAGGGGACCCATTTGGGAAGGATATAAGGACAGGGCAGAGGTAGTCGAGCCTCTGTGGTTGGAAACAGGAACAACTGGCACTCTGTCATCAGGGAAGGGATGCAGAGAAAGTGGTGTTTCAGGAAGGTCAACTTGGCTGAGGCACACAGGCTGGATGAGCTGGGAAAGTTCCGAGTTAACTTTTGGAAACCACCGAGAGTCCACCAAAGCGGTGAGATCATGTGGCCCACAACAGACTGAGGCTGAGACACAGACAGACAATGGAGGATGACAGAAGCGCTCTGTGGGAAGGACTGGCTGGCCTTGGTCAGTGATCAGACACCTAGACATGCAGTCTAAATGCACAGGGTCTGGAGTTCCACAGAACAGATGTGAGGCCCAGCTCTGCCACTCAGCAGCCCTGAGTTCAGGATACCGACTCAGGGTAAGTTTAGCTTCCTCATTTGCAAAATGGAAGCAAGAGTGCTTCCTTTACATGAATGAAAAGCACTTAGCACAACTCCTGGCTCATTCCAAAGTGGTCAAAAAGTGGTAACCAGTTCTTTGGTGTTGGTATAAGAAAAGAAAGAAAACAATGAGAGGCAAGAAAACAAGGGTTCTACACCTGGTCCCTAAGCCAGTGACCAGGGCACAGGCCTGGCCCCTTCCTGGCTCCCTCTTCAGGAGACCTCATTAACATTCAAGATTAGCCATTTCATGCCTCATAGATGAATAGAGGTGTCAGTATGAATGGGGACTCATTCATGTTATCCCCTTTATTACATATCAAACTCATACGTCCATCTCAGAATGGAAAACAAGTCTTTCCAAAAATATCAGACCAAAGGAAAATGGTGATAACTTTGCTTCATTTAAAAGAAATAGCTTAAGATTAAAAAAAAAAGGTAAGTACTTTGCACTTTATTTCATAAGAAGAGGGAGGAAAAAAGATGACACATTGTACTAGTGATTACCTGCCCATTTTAAGCCCTGTCAGCAACACAAAGACTTAAACCAAAGCTAAATCCAGGGCACATTATCCCTTTAAGCCCCTGTGTTAACTCAAGGGGACTGAAAGGCATGTCTGCATTTCTACAGGAGGTTCGTGGTGGGTTCAGAAAACTTTTAAAGAAGTGCCCTATTATCTCAGGTAGGTGTGTTCTGAAGAATCTAAACTGAATGTACTTTTGTTTTAGTTCCTGAAAAATGTGTCTCATCTACCTAAGGTTCCCAAAGTCCATCTTGCACAATGCAAATTGCAGAGGTGGGTTGTGCTTGAGCTAATAAGCCTGGAATGAAAAGCTGAGGAAGTGGGTAACACAGGGAAATTCTTCATCAGCATACCCTTTTGACCCTTGCAGAACTGTCCCTCATGGCCCTGAGTGTACCAGCCTTCACTTTCCTGTTAAGCTGTGAGGTATTTGGAAACAAAGTTTTGAGAAAAGCCACAAAATCAAAAAAGAACAGGAAAAATGACCTGCTGCTGATTAGTGCTGATAATCAGCTCTGGTGGTCACCAAGGTAAGGACTTCTGGCCCTTCAAGGAACCAGCAGGAGAGAAAGGATGGAGTAACTTTCTCAAGTCTGCTAAACTATATTCGCTTAGAGGAGTGGCCCCTCTGGTCTATAGACTCTCCTAAACTGTGGTATGCCTGAACAATTATTTTTTCCATCCCTTACACATGCAGCTAACTAATATGATGACATAAATGAGCTTTTATTAGCCAGCCCTGCTTCCTTAATGGATACAGCCCAAGCCAGTGATTGCTTTGATTACAGAAGAAAATAAATGGCTTCCCAAGGTCCTTTGGATAAGGGGGCATTGGAAAAGTAACCTCTCACAGATGCATGGTACAGAATTGTTACTGCTCACCAAAGACATAAAACCCAATGAGGAATACCTTTAGCTGCCGCAGATGCTCCACAAGCACTCATAATGTGTCATCTATGCATAAGAGCTCAGCTTGCGGGGTCTCTTGGACTTGAGGCTCTGTTCAACACATAGGACCCATGTGACCCTTGGGCAAGTAGCAACATCTCTGAGTTCCAGTTCCTAGCTTTTAAAATGGAGCCACTATCTACCTACCTCACAGGACATCATATAGGTCAAATGTACTAATGCATATAAAGAATTTAGATTATGTCTGGCATGTGAGAATCATTCTAGAATATTAGCTATTACTATTGATGTAATATCAAGAAAAACACAACCTCTACCCCACTGGATAGTGTTGTTATTCAGGTCTAGGAATAAATTCTTTTCATGGAGAAATCCTCCCTGAATGAGATAGGAACAAATCAAAATTTGGCTTCAGCTCCAGAATAATTATGGGACAACTGTTTCTCTAGGAATTTCTCTTTTCTCTGGGTCTATTTAACAATCATCTCAGATTGGTCATATGTGTAATCCAGTATTACAACTTTAAATCTTGGAACCAAAGAACTGCCTAGACTCTTGAAATTCCTTTAGTTTAACTGCTTCATAGTATAGACACCAAGAGGGAAAGTGTTTTGCCTTGGGACACAGGACATAGAAGGGAAAGGGAAGGATTAAAATCCACAATCTAGGGCTTTTTAGCCACTGCCACTTTTAATTCAAGACATTAGCTATTCCTTGGAGATTTAGTAGAACTTGACTGTAAAATCATCTTCACTTGGTACCATTTTTTTTTTGTGGGTAGGAAGATGGTAGGGTCATATTTTAGCTACTGATTCAGTTCTTTCAATGATTACTAATATATTCAAGCTTGCTTTCTATTTTATTTTGAGTTAATTTTGGAAATGTTTATATTTTCAGAAAATTGCTCATTGTATCTGGTTTATAAAATATACTGGCACAAGGACACCCAAGATAACGAAGTAGATAAACACTGTGCCTACTTCCTTCTATGAACACATTAAAATTACAACTAAATTATAGAACAATCAACATGCAGAACTATCTGAAGTCTAGCCAAACAGAAGTCCTATAACTAAAAATTAAAGAAGAAGCCACATTGATACTGGTAGGAGGGGCAGAGACATGGAACAGGCTCCAAACCTCCGTGTGGTGGTTGAGAATCAGAAGGGATATCTCAGCTGTGAAGCTTCCCCACGGAGGAGCAAGGGACCCCAGCCCCCCACACCAGGATCCTCAGCCTGAGTACCGGTACCGGGAAAGGGAGCCCCCACAACATCTGGCTGTGAAAAACAGGGGGGAATTCTGACCATCTGAGTGGGATGGAAGGCTGTGGGAAACCCAGGAGTCCTCTTAAATGGCCCGTGCACAGGCTCACTCGCTTACAGGCACTCACCTTGGGCACCAGTGGAGTGAAGGGGACTCAGGGGTCATTGGAGGCATACAGGGAGCAGACTGAGGTGTGTAGCTTCAGAGCAAGGATCTGGAGGGCAGTCACCAATTTCCCTGTGTGAGGTCCTCCTCCCATGAAGCTGGCAGGCAGCCGCCATCTTTAATGTGTTGAGCCATCCCCCCACTCTTATGGCCAAATCTGAACCTGATTGGTCAGCTGAACTCTGTTGCTCTGCCCTGCTGACTCACTAAGACCCAGCCCCATGAAACTCCCCCAGTGCTGGATGCACTTTCTCCAAGCAGCCAGCCCCACCCGCATTGCACTCCTTCTTGGAAAACTATTGGAGTCTGCAGGCCCCAAACAGGCAGCCACTGGCCTCTGTGTGCTCTGAGACTTTTGCTGAGTAGCTCCAGGCTCAACACTGGCACCAAACAAGAGTCTACATTAACCTGATGACCACAACTTTCCCCATTCTAGTGACTCCCTGAGACACCGCCTCACCCAATGTGCATACCAAATGAGGCTTTATCAGTGGTGAACCTTAAGGGAGCTGGCAGATGGCAGCTGGCCTTGGGATGTCCTGGCTTTTTGCGGAAATACCCCAGGCCCGGTATAAGTGGCAGCCAACCTCGGTTCACAGGATGGCCTCTCCCACATACCTCCAGGTTTAGCATAGGCAACGAAAAACCACAGATCTCTCTGTAGCTCCTACTAGGTAGTCCCTGGCCAGCCACATGCAGTGGGTGACCTGGGCCTGCACCAGAGCCCCTCCCAAGAAGTCCCAGAATCAATGCACTTGGAGGTTGGCTTCAGACCACAGCAGAACACCACTCAGTCCCACAAGTGGCACAGCCAAAGGACAGTCTCAACAGGCACTAGAGCCTACTGGGGCAAATCCCACTCACTGAGGTAAGCCCCTTGTCCAGCAGCCCATAAGCTGTGGATGTGGCCAAACTCCACAGCCAATCAGCCTGAGGGTCAATCCTACCCACTGATGTGCCAATAGCAATCAAGGCTCCACTATAACAGGAGGGAACACAAAACCCACACAAGGGACACACCTAGAGCACCCAGAGCAGGTGACCAGAAAGACTGTGCCAGGGCCCCACAAGGTACCTACTATATAAGGCTACTTGGATTTGGAAGACAAAGTAGCAGAAAACACCCAATTGGAACAGAAAAAAAAAAGAATTAAAAAAAATAAGGATAGTTTAAAAGATCTCTGGGACAACATCAAGGGTAACAACATTCACATCATAGGGGTACCAGAAGGAGAAGTGAGAAAGCAAAGGATTGAGAACCTATTTGAAGAAATAAATGAAAACTTTCCTAACCTGATGAAGGAAATCAACATACAAGTCCAGGGAGCACAGAGAGTCCCAAACAAGAAGAACCCAAACAGCCCCACACCAAGACACATTATAATTTAAATGACAAAGGTTAAAGACAAGCAGAGAATCCTAAAAGCAGCAAGAGAAAAGCAACTAATAACTTATAAGGGAGCTCCCATAAGACAGTCAGCTTATTTCTCAACAGAAACTTTGCAGGTCAGAAGGGATTGGCAGAAAATATTCAACATGATGAAAAGCAAGGACCTACAACCAAAGGTACTTTACTCAGCAAGGCTATCATTTAAAATCAAAGGATGGATAAAGAGCTTCTCAGACAAGAAAAAGCAAAAGGAGTTCATCACCACCAAATCAGTATTACAAGGAATATTAGAGGGACTTAAGATGGAAAAAAAAAAGTAAAATTATGAATAATAAAATGGAAATAGCTACATATCTATTAACAATTACTTTCAGTGTAAATGGATTAAATGCTCCAATCAAGACATAGGAGGCCTGAATGAATAAGAAAACAAACCCTTATATATGCTGCCTACAAGAGACTCACTTCAGATTGAAACACACACACACACACACACACACACACACACAGAGAAGGAAAGTAAAGGGATAGAAAAAGATATTTCATGAAAATGGAAACAAAACCCCCCCAAAAATGGAAACAAAAAGCTCCCCAACCCCCCCCAAAAAAAAACCCTAAAAATAAATGGATTAAATGTTCCAATCAAAAGACACAGGAGGGCTGAATGAATAAGAAAACAAAACCCTTATATATGCTGCCTACAAGAGACTCACTTTAGATTGAAAGGCACACACACACACACACACACACACACACACACGGAAAATAAAGGGATAGAAAAAGATATTTCATGAAAATGGAAACAAACCCCCCCCCTCCAAAAAAAAAATCTGGGGTAGCCATATTTATACCAGACAAAATAGAATTTAAAACAAAGGCTAAAACAAGAGACAAAGAAGGACCCAGTAATCCCGCTTCTGGGACTTATCTGAAGAAACCCAGAACGCTACTTCAAGGTGGCACGTGCATCCATATGTTCTTTGCAGCACTGTTTACAATGGCCAAGATGTAAAGGCAGCCTGGGTATTCATTGATGGAAGAATGGATAAAGAGTAGGTGATACATATATATAATGGAATATTGGTCAGCCAGGGCAGTGAATGGGTTCTTGCCATCTGTGGTGGCATGGATGAACCTAGAGGGTATTGTGCTGAGTGGAGTATGTCAGACAGAGAAAGACCAATGCAGTGAGATTTCACTTATATGTTGAATCTAAAGAACAAAATAAACAAACAAAACAGAAACAAACTCATAGATACAGAGAACATTTTGATGATTGTAAGATGGGAGGGTTGTTGGGGGTGTGGTTGATAAATGGGAAGGAGTTAAGAAGTACAAATTGGTTTGTTACAAAGTAGTCATGGGGATGTAGGGTGTAGCATAAGGAATATAGTCAATAATATTGTAATAACTATGTATGATATCAGAT